TATTGGGTGTTCAGGGGAGTAGTTGGGGGTAAGACAAGATCACTGGAGGATCAGTGGGGGAATCCAGCTGGGTTACTTAAATAACCAGGAGTTAGAACTGATACAAATCTTTGGAACATTTCCTGGGAGCTAATCCAAGTAAGTGAATTAGAATCCAACAAAGTCTCTGATTCTATCTTGGAGTTGGAGGCTTTTTCCGAAGGTTCTGGATGCAGGGCAATTGCCCATCAGAAGTTTAAACTTCCTGGCTATTTCCCACATAGCTACTATGTCAAGACATCTGAGAGTCCTGATGAAAATGTGGTAGGGACCTGGAAAAGATCTGGGCCGTTATAATGTTACTGCCAATGTCACTGCTGTTTTATAACAAACTCCTGCCTTGTTCAGATATGATCCACCACTACTTTCCAGATTTGCTATTTAAGGCAGTGAACCCATCCGATGGTATCTGATCTTTTTTTTTACAAGAACCAATCAATGTGTTATGAATTGGCATGAATGGGGATGAATGTGCATGAAGGACATGAAATGTACACATTTATTATCCATATCCATGAACAGCTGACTTCAATTCCACATTGGGATCATGTCACTAGAGGAAAGACTAACAACTTAAGTGATGAAGATGCAAGTGGACAGGAATTACAGGCTTATAAACTGTATAAAGGAGACTGCAATGAACATTAATAAATGGTTTATGCAAAGTTTATATCCACCATTCTAGCTCAACTGAGACTACAAAACCACAGAGTTAAGGATCAACAGGTCTGGAACATCTGTGGAGAGAAATCCAAGTTGACATTTCGGGTCAAGTGACCCTTCCTCAGAACTGTTCTGACTTCTGAGGAAGGCTCACTCAACCCGAAACGTTAACTCTGATTTCTCTCCACAGATGCTGCCAGATCTGCTGAGCTTTTCCAGCAACTTCTATTTTTGTTTCTGATTTACAGCATCTACAGTTCTTTTGGTTTTTATAGATTTATAGATTTTATAGAATTCAGTTAAAGCATTAAAATTAGATCATTATCTGGATAGGGAAAATGTGCAGAGCTAAGGGAAAAAGGCAAGGGAGTAGCTCAAAGCAATTGGTTCCATTGAAGGACCAGCACAAATAGAATAGGCCAAATGGCTTCCTTCAGCTGTAACCATGCTATGATAGAGAATTATTGGGCATGGGTCAGAAGCCATTCATTGTCCGAAAGAGCACTCTGAATGGTATTCTTATTTAAGGAAGGATGTGAATATGTTTGAGAGGGTTCAGAGGAGATTTATTAGATTGATACCTAGAATGGGTGGGTTGTCTCGTCAGGATAGGTTGAACAAACTGGGGCTGTGAAGTGTGAGGAGTGGTTTGATAGAAATGTATAAAATACTGAATTGTCTTAACATATGCGGAAAGGATGTTTGCTCTTGTGGCTGACTTCAGAACCAGGGGAGGCTGATGTAAAATTATGAATCATCTTTTTAGGACAGAGATGAAAAGAAATCTTTTCTATCAGAGAGATGGTGACTTTGAAAATCTGTGCTGCAGAAGATGGTGGAGGTGGATTTATTGAATATTTTCAAGGCAAAGTTAGATTCTTGTTAGGCGGGGAATTGAGGGTTATCAGTGGTGGGAGGTGGTGGAGATGGGAATGTGGAATTCAAAACACAAACAGATTGCCTGGAATTTTATGAAATGAAGAATCAGGCTTGAGGAGCTAATATGGCCTATTTCTGCTCTCAGCTTGCATGATCTCATGTTTGTACATGCGTTTCACTTAGAATCCATACAGTGTGGAAGCAGGCCATTTGGCCCATCGAGTCCACACTGACCCTCCAAAGAGCATTCCACCCAGACCTACCCCCTACCCCATCTTTGCTTTTTCCCACCCTAGTCACTATGGACAATTTAGCATGGCCAATCCACTTAACTTGCACATCTTTGGACTGTGGGAGGGAACCAGAGCACCCAGAGGGAACCCGCACAGACATGGGGAGAACATATCAACTTCACACAGACAGTCGCCTGAGGGAGGGATCGAACCAGGTCCCTGGTGCTGTGAGGCAGCAGTGCTAACCACTGAGCCACCGTGCCACCCATTTGTTTGTATTTCACTTGAGGGAAGTTCAAAATGCCAAGAATTCATTACTTCCAAGCCTTCAAACAGGTGAATACCTGAAAATACAGGATGACTTTGAACTGCTGGAGTTGAAGATGAGGGAATAGAAAGTTGCAAGGCCAACACATAGAGTGTATTTCCTCAAGGGATGTGAGAAAATGTAAAGTTTATTCACAGGCGCCAAGTTATGATTGTGAGTCATGAGCGTAAGATTGATTCACTCTTGGTAATCTCAGAAACCATTAGACTTGAGCTAGATTAACTTCGTACCACTCCGGTGAGGATTCCATTAATTCTTTGTGGCTGTGGCTGCCTATCGCACATTGTTACAACCATTTTTGAAGATTTATGATTTCCTTCCTCCTCCTGGCTCAAACCATTTATTTGCTACTGTACCTCTTTCCTCCCTTCTGGACATGTGTGCTGACAACAACTTGAATGTATGTGACACCTTTAAGGTAATAACATATTGCATAGTGCTCTGCAGGAGTCCTATTAAGCAAAATAAGGTGTGCAACATAAGGTGATTTGATTCCAGGCATCCAAAAACTTGATCAAACAGCTGAATGTCTTTATTCCCCAATTCATTCATGGAAAGTAGGCATGACTAGCTAGGCCAGCATTATTTGTCCATCCCTAATTATTCATAGGGCAGTTAAGGATCAAACGCATTGCTATCGGTTTGGAGTCACATGTAGACCAGACCAGACAAGGATGGCAGTTTCCTTCCCTGAAGGGCATTAGTGAACCAGATGGGACAATCTACAATGGACATCTTTAGGGTCTTAATTTTCCTTTATTGAATTCAAATTTCCCCATCTGCCACAGCAGGATTTGAACCTGGGTCCCTAGAACATTACCTTGGTCACTGGATTAATAGCCCAGTGATAATATCACTAGGCTATTGCCTCCTCTTGAAGGGACTGCTTCAATGAGGGAAGAAATGCAGCTACATTTAAAACTGAATTCTAGATCTTAGGGCCTTGGTGGTAGAAGGTGCAACTACTAATGGTCAAGCTATTAAACTTTGGGATGCTCAAGAGGCCAAAATCAGAGCAGATTACACAAAGGCTATGTGGGGCTGGGTGAGGTTAAAGAGAGCAGGAGGGTGTAAATTCAAGGAGGGATTAGAGGACAAGGGTGCTGCATTTATTTAACCAGACTCCAGTGCAGGTCAAAGGGCTGGTGGGTGTTCAGGACAGAATACCAATTCACATATAGGTAGCAGAGTACTGGCTGAACTTAGTTTAGAGAAGGTGGGCCTGTTACTGCACAGCCAGAGTGCCTACCTAAATCAGGTATCCAGCCTTTGTAATATGCAGAGTCTGGGGATCTCTACAGGACCAGATTAGGGCAATGCTGGGTGGAAACATGTATTGTGCACATTCTGCCAGTCCCACTGCCCAAAATCCCCTTGTGGTGAAACTCTACCCCAGTGTCTCCTAAGGCAGTTCCTTGTGCTGTCAAGATATTTCTATTCTCTAGTCGCTGGGGTAGCTCCTACTTGAGCCAAATACAGCCTCCAGCACTCAAAGCAGAAAACTCTGAATGCTGGAAATCTGATGCAGACACAGAAAATGCTAGAGAGACTCTGCAGGTCCAGCAGCAATGTGAAGAGAGAAAGTTAATGTTTTGAGACCAGTATGACTCTCCTTTAGAACTCGTCATGCTGGAAGTGGCAGAAATGAATGAGAGAGGTGGAAAGTGAGAATAAGAGGAACACTATTGGGGATCTGGGAGGCAGAGGAAGGGGTGGCAGCTGAAATGGGGGAAATGGGGTAAACACAGTGGAGAGCCCATTCTACCACAAACCTGTCAATGTTCAAATTAGACTAGTAATGGACATGAAATATGGACCCTTTCTCTATCTATGACGCAGCCAGATCTGCTGAGTTTCTCCAGCACTTTCTACTCTGAATCGATGTGTGCTGCCACTGGACTAATATTGATGGAAAACAATGTCATCACGTGACATTTTTGATATATCTTCCCCCCTTCTGCGGGTAACTCAGATTAATCATCTCATGCTAATGCTTTGTTTTCATTGCATTTGGTTTTGACCTTCCCTTAAGCAACTAATCAAAATATTGTTAACTTGATTCAAAGATCACAGATGAATGACCTTCCTTCCTTGTCTGGGATAATAAAGGAAAGGACTGCAGATGCTGAAATCACAGAATCCCTACAGTGCTGAAGCAGGCCATTTGGCCCATTAAGTTGACATCAACCCTCTGAATAGCATCCTATTCAGACCCACCCCACCTGTAACCTTCCATTTCCCATAGCTAATCCACGTTGCCTGCACATCCCTCAACACTCTGGGGCAATTTAGCACTGCCAATCCACCCATCTTTGGACCATGGTAGGAAACCAGAGTGTCTGGAGAGAATCCACGCAGACATGGGGAGAATGTACAAACTCCATAGACAGTTGCCCGAGAATAGGACCGACCCCTGATCCCCAGTGCTGTGAGGCAGCACTGCTAACCACTGAGCCACGGTGCCACCTTGAAAAATCTGAAACAAAAACACAGATGTCGCTGGAGAAACTCAGCAGGTCTGGCTAAATCTGTGGAGAGAGAAACAGAGTTAATGTTTCGAGTCCAGTGACCCTTCTTCAGCATGTCCAGGAGAATTTCCCTGCTCATGCCTCTCTATTATTCCTCCATCCACTATTGGCTCAGGCTCGGGCTGATCCAGAACCCCATTGGCTGTTAATGGGACCAGTAGCTCACTAGGTGCTGCCAGCCTGGCCAATGGCAGATGGGCATGACTCTTGGCTGCTCTGATTGGGCGAGGCTGGCCTTTGTGATTGGCTTAGTGTGTTGCGGGGTGTGGCCCTCCTGCTCTTGATGGACAGGTTGAGGATGTGGGCTCAGGCACATCTGGAAGTGGTAGCTTCTACCAGGGCTTGGTACCTGTGACTGTGCACGCAATGCCAGGCTTGGTGCCTGTCTGTGGAAGGAGGGATGCAGGTTCTGTAGCTGCAGGAACAGGCAGGCAGGCTGGCTGACTGAGCACACACTCCCTGTGCCTTTTCTCCCCAGACTCTCCACTGGAGACACAGAGGGAGAGACATCGCTGCTCATTTGAGATCCTGGGGATTTCGTGCCTGGCAACAAATTGGCTTCAAAGTCCACCGTCCTGAGAAACTGCCACCTTCTCACAAAAGGTAGGTTGGGGAATATTTCCTTGGCTGTGTCAGGAATTTAGATGTCAGCTCTCAGTTAGACTGTACCTAACCCTGGGTTTGTTCGGTCTGCAGAACCGCCATCCACTGCCTCCGGGCTCTTCCCGGCATTTTTATTTTAACGATCTGCAGGTATCACGGGTTCGACTTTTTTTTAATTTAAATGCACAGCTGGCCTCAACTGTCTGATGTATTTTCGCCTGAACCAACTGGGGAATGTTATTTGCAAAGTGTGTGAGTCAGTGCAGGAAGCGTGTGGCTGCAAAGAGAGAGAGAGAGAGAGAGACCCGGGGAGTACAGTGTTACCAACCGGTTGCATTTTAAAGACTGGGTAGCTGTTATAGTCCGCGATCAGGATGGAGTGCAGGGTGACCAGGTCACACCAGATCCACCACAAACCGACCCTAAAGGTCACTCCCCGGTTAACAACCTGACACCCCCATTTCCCCCCCCCCCCCCCCCGGACACACAGCTCTAACATCCACCCGTTCATCCAATTCCTTAGCTGGTTACTTTGCCCGGAGATTCAGGCACCGCCTGATTTCCCTGTCCTGGTTTGGAAGGATTTGGTTTAAAAAAATGTTGATGGCAGGTTCATGTTGCAGTTGCTAACACTGTGCATCTTCTTGCGAAGATGTGTGTGTCATATCTATGACCGTGATATGTTTTCCTGAACCATTGTTATTCCACTTAAATCTGGCTCATTACAGAATGACCCCATAGGGACACAGTGGAGTGGGTTTTTTTTTGTCTATTTAACATGTTAGGTAGAGTGTACTGAGCGACCACATCAGTAAGAAGCGAGTATCAGCTGATCCCAGGCATATGTCTATATTTGCAATTATACACTGTGGATGCCTAGGTGATAGTTTGTTTCTTTTCCCAATCACTGGAAAACCCAGGACTCGTTTTATGAATTCACGCAAGGCGCAAGTAAGGGTTAAATCTGCAGTATCTCTTCTCCATTCATTTCAGTGATCAATTATGCCTAAGTGTAGATATTTCTTAAATCAACCTATATGCAGATATTATCACACACACACCTTTGAAACTTGAACCTGAGCCTCTTGGCTCAGAGGAAGGGACACTACCACTGCACCACAGGAATCCTTATGTCTAACAGTATGTTGATAACAGATGAAGATGATAATTGAAGATTTACATACGTTACACTGCCCTTAATGCAACTCTGCTGTTACATAAGGATTCAGTGGGTTTTCACGAAGGGCTGAACTTGTGGTAAGTCAGTGCCGACTTATTCTCAATTAAGATTGATTTCACTCCAATAAGTAAGTAAATGAAAATGTTTTTATTAACCGTCATAGCGGTGTTAACATCTTCCCTTCGAGTGGTGCCTATGTTCAGTGAACTGAGTGCCATGCTTAAAAGGAACCTGTGCCAAAGTTACTAGTTTATTGGTCAGTGGAGTCCGTTATACTGGAGTGGTTACACATTGGGTCCCCTCTCTCGCCGCTATGGTTGGGGTCCAGATTTTAGCTCGATGGCCGACCGTAAGGCTGTGAATGAAGGTCGCCAGGCTTTATTCAATTCCTCATTGAGAATGTGCAACAACTGGACCTTAAGTGAAATTAAGAGTGAACAATGTCTCTCACTGGTGCATTGAGGATGTTTTTTGTGTAGCTCAAGTTGATGCAGAATAAACCGAGCTTTGCTATATGTAACTCGAGAGAGCTTAGTCCTGGCACTGTCAGAAACGGAGAAAGCGTTATCCACCACTATAAGCAAAACCAAGCCCTTCTTAAAGTGAATTTGATTGGTTAATAGTTTTAATTTCCACTTAACATGTATTTGACGAGTATTATTTATTAGTTGAAAATTACTTTTTCTGCGGATGTTTACTGTGCTTCTGACATTCTTCCCTGCTTGTTTAATGAAGCATTTGTAATGGATAAGTTATTGTCAATGGTAAATTAAGTGTTTACCTCCTGATATCATTAACTGCAGTTTCTAAGATTTTAACTCCAAATTTATTGGGCTGGAGGCATTATTTAGCTCTTCTGAAGCAGCATTTTAAAATGTCGCTTTATTTTATGCAAACTAAAAACAATTAAAAGAGCAAATGTCATGATCCGTCCCACAGCCCATGACAAAATGCGTATTAATAATAAAGCTCAACTAAAATTCATTTTATACATCAATAAAAACCGATAATCTCAGATCTTTTAGTTAAACGTTATAATAGAAACTTAGACTTCAAAATTCCCTTTGCTCCCTATGTTACCTGAGGTCATATTAAACGATAGTTCAATTGATGTACTTACAGCCTTGTGCAAATCACCTTTCTTTGCAGAAGGCTGTGAGCTTGCAGATTGATCTTAGCAAATGGTTGACTCTGTTAGTTGTGCCTCAGCAGATAATGCTTGAATCTTTGTATTAGAACATCATGGGATCATGATCTGTTCCAAAGACTCTAACACGAATATACAGCTGATGGTGCAGTACTGGGGGGGTGCAGTACTGGGGGAGTGCTGCGCTGTCTGGTGAACAAGTTGTTAAAACAAAGCCTTGCCTAGTTTATTTTTGGGTGAATGGAAGAAGATCATATGATACTGTTTAAGTGAAGAGCAGGGTCATTATCCCCCGTGTCTTGGTAAATATTTATCCCTCTGCAAGACTAAAGACTGACTATTTGGGTCATTTCACATAGCTGTTTGAATCTACTGTGTCCAAATTGTTTGCGAAATTTTTGCCATTATTGCATAGGTTGTAAAGCATTTTGGGATATTCTGGAATCATAAAAGAATGCAGATTTTTTTTTAGTCTAATTTGGGTAACTTTATGGAAACTCAATCCTATGATTGTGATAACTATATGTATTTTTGAATGAAAATTCTTGGCTTGTAATCAGAAATGGGGGCACCTGTAGATTTCTCTTCCCTTCTTCCAGCCAGAGAATAGGTGAACGGTTATAAACCCTTTCCTATCACATCAGATGTGGCCAGGATATAACCAGGGATTGAAATTCTTCATCTCCATGATTGTGTGTACCATTCAATGTGTTTACATTTTAAGCCACTGGGAGATCCAAAGTGTAGAATCTTGAGATACTTCTGTGCAAACAGATGGGAAAATGAATAAGCAGCAACATAAATAAGACAAAAATAAAACCTAGTTGCTGTGAAGTGGATGATTGTGCTCAAATACTGACGGCACCTTGTTTTATATCTTGTCATCCATTCAAGTATTTATAGGTAAGGTATTGTGAAAAATGACTAAAGCCGGTACAAGTTGCAATTTTTAAAATTTACTATTAATCATGACATCTAAGAACAATGTTTTGACTGGGGATGATTATAGCCTCCTTTTCTTTCAACTTTATTTGTTTTTACAATTAAGTAATTATGACAAAAGCCTCTTTGTAGGGAAGAAAATACGTGTGGGATTGTATTTGTTCTTTTAAAAGCAACACTGTAGAACAGTAATGTGGAAACCATTGCTAATTGTCAGGGAAAACCCATCTGATTCATTCATGTCCTTTTTAGGGAAGGATATCTGTCATCCCTACCTGGTCTGGCCAACATGTGACTCCAGACCCACAGCAATATGGTTGCTTCTTAGGGGTGGGCAATAAATGCTAGTCCAGCTGGTGATGCTAAGACCACGAATGAATTTTTAAAAAAATGCAACTTTTTATGATGTCAGCAACTGCACAGGTTACAGAATGACCAATGATCACAAAGGCCCACCAGTGCCCTAAGAATTACCACGGTCAAAGCATTTCCCATTGAACTTTCCTTCCCAGTGAAGGAACTTTACCCTGGAATGGGAAGACACCAGACAAACAGATAATGGCAATGTAAATATGTATCATTAGGAGACCTGCATGATGTAAAGATTATGCACTGCATGTTCAGAAACTGTTGAAAGTGGGACGGATGAGAATTAACATACTTTTGTTGATGAACAATAATTTTCTTTGATCATGTATATTAGCTAATGTGGATAGCTCGTAACTGCAAATGATAGTGCATGCATTTCTTTTCTGTTTCATGTTCCGCATGAAAAGGGGATGATAATATTAATGCAACTTTATACAGTGATTTAATTTGCTTGCCATAGCTTTGAAGTTAAACTCTGCTGTAACTTGCTTTCTCTTTAGTTTGTGGCAGCCATGAAATGTATCTCTTGAAACAAGTCCCACCTGAAAATTGTCTCAGGCAGAACCTTCATGTTATTAGCAATGTCACGCTGCCCTGTGGTTTATATCTGCTTTTCAAATGAAACAAGGATGCTTAGCATTGCAAAATTACTCCTTCAGCCCACTTGATTGTATTAAGTCACTGCTAACCTCATATTATTCCATGTAATCGTGTCCAAGTTATGACAAAAGAATTTTGAAACTGTGTGGCTTTGAGCAGTAATTTATGTATTTCAGCATTCTAATTGATGCTCTACAGAATAAGGATTTTTGACCTGTCATAGTTCAGATAGAAGTTTGGGTGACAAAGTGGTTTAATATATCATGACTGAAAAAAATGAAAGGCAAGTTACTGCAGATGTTGGAGATCTAAAATAAAAGTGAAGTGCTGGAGAAACGAAGCAGATCTGGTGATATCTGTGAAGAGAAAGATACAGAGTTAATGTTTTGAGTTTAATATGACTCTTCAGAATTGAAGGGGGGTGGAAAAGTGATTTTTAATGATATTGACAAAGGAAAAAGAGGTGCAAGTGGAATAGAGGGTGAGGGCACACAAAGTAAAAGGCAAAGGTACTGCTAACAGTCATAGTTATATTGATGCAGAATAAATATTAGTGGTAGGTGTGAACAGTAGAAAATAGATCAGCTTTACTAAGATTAAACCCATGCAAAAATGATGGAAGTGGGGAAAGAGTGGTGCAATCAAAATGGAGGACAGTGTTCGGGGTTTGAAGTTCTTGAACTCGAAGTGCTTCAGTGGAAAATGAGGCGCTGTCCCTCCAGCTTGCTTTGGGCTTTGCTGGAACACTACAGCAGACCTAAG